TAAAGTTTGACTTTTCGATACTGACAGTCCGTCTCCTCTCTCAGTCCGTGTTGATCCGTATCAGCGAGTGTACATCATAATCGACACACAATGTCCGTCTTACATACGAGTATCTGCGTTCCATTAAACTGTATATGTTATAATTGGTTTTTATACTTATATGGACGAACTCGCTCGAATAATTTACATATGGCTTTTGATGAGTTTTTATTTGTTAGAATTCCGGTATGTTACTTTGATCTGGTTTAATATTTCGTAAGAAGACTTTTTATCTTTTTTATTGATTAGATCTTTTTCCAAGAGAATATGGAACACATTTGACTGTCCAATCGTATGCGAATAATGTCGAGTTCTACATGAAGACTCACTCGAGCTGTTATTATATAATATGCGGGCATTTTTGATAATTAATTTTGTACATTTGGCGGAATTTGGTATTTGCGGCAATGAGCTTTCGAGTTCCTAACGCCTAATAATAATAATAATAATAATTTTGTACATCGATCTTTGTGATAAGTAAATGTCTGAAGAGGATTCAATCGGATAACTGAAACTTGTAATGTTTTATATTTGAATTTAGACTGTTTTCTTCATTTGTTCTTTATTTGTAATTTATTCTATTTAATTATGTTAAAATTTAAAATGTGTTTGACTCTTACTTTGCCCTTTATTTATTTTTTTTTAATTCTTGATGAAGGAAAATACTAATTAATGCATAATTTTCAATAATATAAGATAGTATGCGACATAACAGAACGCAATAATATATTAGGTTTATTCCGTTTAACTCAACATATGCAATGCTCCCATTGGAGAATTCATAGGAAATATCACGGAAACAGCCAATTCAGCCGAAATAAGCATTACCTTAAGCATAACTTCGCAAAGGTGATCTTATTTTAAATAATGGCAAAAACTTTTTCACCAAGATCATCTCAATTCGTGACTATGAAATCTACTACTGTTGAGATGACCTTAATTGAATAAGACGATCTTTGCCAAGACAGTCTTAAGTACTGACTTGAGCTTGGACTATGAATACCGCTCTTAGAGACTTAAGTTGTAAACATAAGTAACGCACAAGCTTTGGCGAATGACTATTTGCTGTTTCTTGGAGACACAGTAATAAGTTGTACGTCATAAAGTTTGTGCGTTATTTACATCTATAAATTAAGTCTAAGTAAGTGTTATGACAATTCTTTCAGACCCTAACTTGCAATGCCAAACATTTTACAGGTTTTGGGTCGTCATGTTCTCTCTCAGATTTCTCTCTGCTCGAACAGAAGCCTCGTATAAAAAAATGCATCCTGTCCCATTTTTTGTATTAACTATTTTATTTTGATTCAATTCTTTATTACCAACATTATTTAATAGCTAATCAATATTGGACAACATGAGGAACTCATGTAGATACTGGTAGATACTTCGTAATCTATAACTGAATGAAGGAAGACTCTCCTAATCTTTGATAAGCAAGAATAAATAAATTAAACTGGCAGAATTAAATTGATGGGTTCTTGTAGCAAAATTAAAATTATAAAATGTAAATCAAAATAATAAAAGTATAACAATAAATTTCTGCATTAAAAAATATAATTATTAATTTTCAGGAAAACATGGATAAAGATAATGTCCGAACTTTGTTGTTATTGTATCAACAATATCCATATTTACACATTGTAAAATCTGTGGATTCATAATCGTATAAAAAGAGAAAAAGCTCTACAAATGATATACGATCAGTATACAGAGATCACAAAACAACCAATAACAATAGAAATTGCAAAAAGATAAATAATTTAAGATCACAATATTTAGACTATCCCAAGAAGATTAAACAATCAAAAGCAAGCGCCTGCTATCCATTGCACCGATGCAGTTTGATACACTCTATTGTCTCAGATAATTGTCAGCAACATGTGTGTGGATTCCATTTTTCTTCGGTATCTGGAGTCTAAAATATTATGTATATTAATTAGTACGTAAATATTATTTTAAATATTCATCTTTTAGTACTTCATAGATGACTCTGTTCCAGGAATAATACGTGATAAAGTACAAGCCGGTACTTTTCATGCTGCGAAAAGATTCCCCAATGGCTGAGAATCTTATAACGTTTTCCATTGGGAAAATTGGTGCAACACTGGTGTGCACTGGAATGCAATTGTGTTGTTCCACTGTGAAAAGAGAGAGAGTTTAGTGTTTAATATTCCGTTGATAAAACTGGTGCAAAAAATTTGCACTGAGTTCAACTTTTGCTCCACTGTCTTCGAAGTTAGTGGAGACCAGTGCAAATTGAAATTGAGATTGTGTTCGTGCTAAGGTATGATATCATGTTATGATATATTACATTATTATACAGGGTGACTGGAATGTACGGCTCCACTCGAGGAATGAGGAAAGCGCTTCGTTCATCGCCGCGAGTCTCTAAGCTCGAAACGGTGTGGCGCGCCTGCTAGGCCATTCCCGCTCCTCGCGCGCCGTGTGCTCGGTGAGCCGTACCTTCAACAATAGTAAGTCGGGCGGACGCGCGTATTCGGCTATCTTTAAACGTTAATATCTCGTTAATTATTGCAAGCATTGTAAAATAGTACAAGACTTTTCAACTTAGTTTAGTCTGCTCTACTTGCTCGGGACGAGTGGGGCCGTACAATCCACCCTGTATAATTAAATGTTATAAACAATGACATTGTTTAGTTCCAATGTTTCTAATAATAACTATGCAATGACATTTTGACATTTAAAACTCTTGAAATGTAAAAATTTAATTTAAAAAAATGTTTTAAATAAATAAATCAGAATATTTTAAAATAAATAATTTAAGTTTGAATATAGTTATATATATTTTTAGGGGTGTTATAAAATGGATGTCTAATGATGTTCATTGAACCGCACACCACACACACACACACACACACACACACGTACGCGCGCACGCACATCATCCTTTTCTATATGTAATAAATCATTAATTCATACATAAGAATGAAATGATACATAATGGAATCATTTTTATTATTCCCTATTATACTCTATGATATTTTTACATTGTTCATAATATACAACTTATCTTATCAGATAATTAAATAAATTCTATTTGTTTTCTTCACAATTTTACTTTACTATAACCTTGATATATATTCTGTGGACCCAACATGACGCCATGACAGTTTAAGTCGCGCCACCTGGACAAATATACCAAAATAAACCAATGCGGTCTGAAATTTTATATTAAGAAATTTACTAGATATGGACACAACAGAAATATCAACAGCGTCAGGGCTGTGTAACTCAGTGGCAGAGCGAAAGTCTACCAACTCGGAGGAGAGATTAGACCTGAGATCGAGACGAGGAACGCCCTGATATTTTTCTCTGTTGTCGTTAATTGTTTACAATATGGAAGTTGACCACGCATGTGTAAAACAGTAATGCATGGTCTACAATGGGCAGTAGCAGTAGTGGATTAAGACAGTGCTCACAAAGATTTGCACATTTCGGGTCGATTCCGGCGCGCTATCCCCACTACAGCTCGAGGCTCGAGATTCGGCGGCCGAGTCGGGCGCTTACGTGACGTTCTGATTCAGGAGCGTCTCTGTAGCTTAAATGTGCGAAGGTCGTATTTTACGTTATTAAAAAATATTTTTCTTGCAAAATAATTTTTATTTCCTTAAAAAAATCAAATACTAATTTTTTAAAACATTTTGTCATAATAAAGTTTCTTGCCTACTAGAAACTATTTAATAATTGTTATAAATTTACATTGCGAAATTTCTAGAATAATTAACACATTTTGTCATAATAATTCTTGATTACCAGAAACCATTCAATAATTGTTACAAATTTACGAGAAGTTTCTATAACAGACTTGCGAGGATTGAAGTCAGGCAATACGTGAATCTAGAAATTCCGTGTTTTCCATACGAAGTCTTATAAAGTCTCAAGTAACGAGGATTTTATATCGCAATAACTAAATAATTTAATTAAAATGATAAAATTATATTCGCTTACAGAAGAAAATAGTTATTGCGATATAGAATCCTCGTTACTTGAGATTTTATAAGACTTCGTATGGAAAATACGTATGGAATTTATATGGTGAAAAAGCTGCGCAACGACACCGACAACTGTTGGTAGGCGTGTAATGATAATGACGGAATCACACCCCAGGACTTGGATCGAGAACTCGGACGGATTTCTAGCATCGTGAACACAAGGTTTTACGCCCAGATAACTCTAAGCTATAGGTTACGTTGTGTATATTACAGCAAAAATGCACCCTAATGTTGTCTAGGCGTAATTCCTGGACGCAGCCCAGTTATTCTACTAACCAGTCAACTACAGGTGGTCGATTGTGTATCTTCAAATGAAGTGAAAATTACAAAAGTGAGCAAATTTATTAGAATATTCATAATTTAATTGGTCAATACCTAGTAACTTTTGCTCACTTTTATAATTTTCATTTCCTTTCGAAATCCACAATCAACCCTTTGGTCGCTATGTACTTTCAACGCATCTTAATTTATAGATTTAGACCCGTATTCAGAACGTGCTTTTATCAATAAAAGCGTTTAAGCCCATGACACATACAAAAACGTAAGGTCGTAACACATAAGCAGTAAGGAAATCGTAATATTGGACTTATGGTCTCTACCGTGATTGGGCAATTCGCTTACTGATTAGGTCTTACGGCTTTACGTTTTTCTATGTGCTCCCGGCTTCATTCTATTACATAATATCATCGCAGTTTTTTATTATTAATTTTTTTTCGTTTGACATTTCATACTTCTAGTCAAACAAGATTCAAATTAATTCCCACAGATTATATCTATTCTCTGTTCGACGGTAACATTTGCGTAAAAGAAAAGAATCTTGGAGTCTTTCCGACGTAACAAAAGCATAAAATATCTTGTAAACTATAATATTGTGATTTATTATAATTCTGAACACAATCAATGTGAAGAAATCATATTTTATTTACAAAATGAAAAATTAATTTTACAACACAATTAATAAGAAATAAACTTTATAACGGTTTATAACGGTCGAAGCTGAATTTTTAATGCTTAGATAATTCCATGTAAATTTATATATATTATACAGTAAGGTCTAAAAAGTTTTGGAACGACTAATATCTCAAAAAGTATTGGTTTATTTGGAAAAATGTGTTTCAGATAAAATTATAGAATTTAAAAAAATCTATGTACTGATTTTATTACACATACAATTTGTTCTTGGGTGGCGTCAATGTCAGATCAAGGTCACATCAATTTTATTAAATAAAATGCCCTAGCTATTTTTTATTTCAGAATCTAGTAGCTAGTGTATCAAGAACTTTCCAAAACATAATAAAGTTCACTTTCATCAAGTACTTTTAAAGTTATAAGGTTTGAAAATTACAGTACCGTCGACATTAGCATTATCCAAGGTGTCCGATCAATAGTTGAAATCTCTTAAATATTATTCAAGATCATATCCTGGATAACATTTATTAAAATTAAAGCCATAGAAAGTTATTACTCTGATTTTCATTTATGTATTAAAAATTCATTTTTACGTAAAATTGGACTTATTCGACGCGTTTTTACATGAAACGAAGTTAACGACTATCAGGTTAAGAAATTTGTCAGTTCTGTTATATATGTAGAGGGACGTAAGAATATGTAAACAAGACTACAACGTATTATTTATATAATATTACTTATATGATCATAATATGAACAGGAAAATATGTATTTCTAAAAGTTTTTTACACAGCCAGAAGTTTTATAATTTTTTAAAATTCATGCAGTGATAGAAAATCACTTGTAGTAGAAAATTTTTTATTTTTTACATTACATTCCTTAATAAATAATTCTTACAGTTCTAGTATTATTTATTATGTAATATTATATTATATTATGTAATATTATATTATAAAACATAATTAAAATTTATTACATTTATTGCACTATTTTTGCCAAAAAGTCATCCTGAAATTCAAAGAGAATTACTACACAAGGATAGGTTTTGTAATATATCTTGTATATATGTTCATATATTAACAATGTTATTGTAGAAAGCAAACAACTCTTCTTTGACTGTTTATCAAATAAAGATAATAAATAAAATAGTTGAAATTATATAATATCCCAGAAACATATTGAAATAGCTATATATTCATATTTAGTTAATACAACAATCCTGCTGAGAATCTACTCCAGGTGGGAATGGAAAAGTGGGATTGTTTCCGAAATCAAATTGAAAAGGCAAGCATTGTTCGCCAAAAAGATCATCAGGTGCTTGACCATAATTTTGCATTTCCGTCATAAGTTTTAATACATATTCAAATCGATGTTGTTTAATATCTTCTGTATCGTCTTCCTTTTCTTTTTCCAATTCAATACACACCTTACACAGAATATAAACATGTTAATTGTGTAAAGCTTCCACATAAATCATAGGTTGGTTAATTAGTTTATTATTAACATACCTTTTGCATCAATTCTGACTGTTTTGTATACCTCTCTAAATCGGAAGCATTTAAAGTTACTTTATGTTCCTCTAACCATGCTGGATATTTATCAGATAGTTCTTTCAATGATGGATAAAGAATTTCTTTTGACAAAAGATGCTCCATCATTCCTTGCATAAATGGTAATATATCACTAGTATCGCCATCAAAAGACGTTTGCCCGAGCATAGCTGCTACATCTGTTTCATTCTAAAATATATTATTTATTTTCCTATCAGAAAGATGAAAATAATATTACCTATTTACTATTATTGATTTTTATAAATTTAAAAAAATGTTAAATTGTAAAAATCAATATAGACAAGTATTATTGCTATAAAGATAACTTTTATTAATCCTTATATGGTATAATACACAAATCAGTACATTATCAATACGATCTGGATATTTCGAATCTGTCCACTTTTCCACTTATTTAAAGTTCAAAAATATTTAAAAATTCATGAACATACATTTAAGTTTCTAGAACAAGTTTCTAAAATAATGTCTGAATTTCGTTTTAGATAATAATTAAAAGTAATATAATTTACTGAATTTTCTTATCAAAGAAATCGTAAGTTGGGTAAAAGTATCATTTGATTTAAAAAAGTGTAGCTTTTTAATCAAGGCATATAAAAATGGCTAATTTTTTAGTTTAGATATAAAAAAATATTTTGAAAAAAAGTACAAGAACTTCAAAGGACTTCGTTATGATCTTATGGAAATTAGGTTTCGGCGGAATTGTCTGAAATTTTGATATGTGTAGTTTACGGCATTCTGAACAAATGTCTCCATAGGCACAACCCCCAAGAATCAATCCTTCGCCCGCTATGAGTTGGCAAAGTAAAGATCAGTAGGTAAGTCTAATTGCAATAACGGGCTATATATCACGATAAAGGATTAATTTCTGGGGGTTATGCCTATGGAGACATTTGATCAGGATGCCGAAAGCTACAACATATCAAAATTTCAGACAATTCTGTCAAAAATTTCCATAAAATCGTGAGATCTTTTTTCAAAAAGTATAATTATTTGAGCATACAA